CTACCGAAATATCCGACATTTTATTTTTGTTCTTCGTTCCGCCAACGATGGCGCTGATGATGTATCGTGGCGTGCTAGTCGCGCAACCGAGTCACCGTATTGGTCAATGTAACTAAAAGACGATGATTGGTCGAAAGACAAGACCGACGCGACACCACGCGGTCTTCCTCACCGAGAAGGAAAGCCTCGTGGCAGTCGGCAGAGTGATATAGCGGGGAATGGCGAAGAGTTGTACACGCGGTCGTGCTCGTGAATAAACGTATTGTATTCGATAACATCGTCTCAAGGTTGATTTCCCTATAGCGCCTTGGACATCCTTATTCCTACCGCTCGAAGATCTATCCTAGTGACAATCCTGACCGGATAATCACCTCTAGATTTTGCATAACTCACGAGAAGATTTCTTACAAAATGATTTTTCTAATTTTTAAATAAAATATTTTCAGTTATTTCATTTATTTACATTTATTCTTTTTATATGTATAAATAATTTAATAATGTATGTTATTATTAACTAGAGGATATAATAATTATTAATAATAAAAGTTATAATAGTTTTCAATTCAATAAATTCATTTATAATTATCCTTTCCTTATTTAAATTATATCACATTTTCAATATTGCGGAAAAAACGCTGATTGGCTGATATATTAATATGGCCGGCCACTTGTTCCACCATTCTCATTGGTCAATCATCTTTATCCGCAACAGCACACCTCTATCTTTTATTACACCATGCTGTGGGACTACTTCCACCATGGCCAAGAGTCCAGCGGCCAGCCATTTGACATTTCTTTTTGGAGTTGGAGAGTTGGCGTTTTCATATATTTGTGGTGTGAAAGCAAAATTTATATAAGTAAAAATGTTGAACGTGGAGGTCGTGGGAGTATCATTCAAATACAGCATAAACACGCCGATTTGTGTGCAAGAATTAAAACAAGAAATTGAAGAAGCAACAGTGAGTATAACCATTGAGACTTAACCTTAAATTGTTTTTTATTATTTCTTAAAATTCTTTATTTCTTTTCAAAATGATTCGATTTAAATCATGAAGTTGAAACCTATATTTACAATTTGCATTTAACATTTATTTCGTTAATATTTTATAAATATTTTGTAAATTACTTTGATAAAAAAAAATTATCTTAAAATCTCATATTTTAAGAATATTTTAAATATTTAAAGATTTATGAAAAAACACTTTCTTCAGATTTTATAAATTTTTTTTCGGAAATTATAGGATGATAAATTCTAGAAATCTAGAATATTTCAGAATTTATATCGTGCGCGCGCGCGCGCGTGTGCATGTGTATGTGTGCGTGTGTATAAATAATCTTATAATTTCTGAAAAAAAATTTATAAAATCTGAAGAAAGTATTTTTTCATAAATCTTTAAAAATGTAAAATATTCTTAAAATATCAGATTTTAAGATAATTTTTTTTATACATATACATGGTTTGTCCCAAAAGTAATAAGACTATTTTTGGGAGAATCAGAATTGTCAGGGAGTGGATCCATTGGACAGGGCTTTTGGAGCAGGAACTTTTGGATGTCAGGTATATAATCTGATACCATTCTCAGTTGCCTCTGAGCCTTTCTAACAGTTGATACCGTTAGCAAAGTACATTGCAATTTTTGTGTCTTGTCACGGACAAAAATTCAGCACAGACTGTGCTGTATTTTTAGTAATGTTACACGATCAAATTTTGAAGATAAAGCAACTTCTCCATAAGCTGTTTTCAACATCTGCAACGTTTTGGAACAGATTTTCTTTGTTTCACGCAGATTTGATCGCTACTCGAGACTACTGAATTTTTGACCATGACAAGACAAAAATTATAACGCTTTACTGACGATATCGACTGCTAGAAAGGCTTAGTGGCAACTGGAAAGAGTCAGTTGTATACTTGATATCCTGCATCAAAGGCCTGTTCACCCCCCGACAATTCTGATTGAGATGCCAAAAATAGTCTCATTACTTTTGGGACAGACCATTATATATATATGTAAAGAATTCTAGAAGATATGTAAGACTTTCTCATTATTTCTGAAGTGTTTAAATTTGTATTAAAAAATTTGAGAAACTTTTTAGAAAATTATACAGATTTAATTTTAAAAATTTTGAAATTTATAAAGAAATTCTGAAAAATTATATGAAGAATTTGAAGAAAAATGCTTATCATCAAAGCTGGTATTATTTAACGATATCTTTTTCTTTATACAATAATGTCAATAATGTTTAAAAATGTAGAAGCAATAAATATTAAGTTTATATCTTTTATCTTACATTTTATTGAAAATACACTCATTTGATATCTTACATAAAAACAAAGATTCGAAAAAATCACTAAATACTGTAAAAATTAATTATGTGCTAAAAAGATGATGTATTTAAGAGTTGGAAAATCTGTCAAATCAATGCAAATAAAGTGATATAAACATGCGCTACAATAGAAATAGCTCGTGAAATAGGAAATTAATAAATTAGTACTATTGTAATAGAATTGATGTTGCTATGTGCAGGAGATGATATAGGATGGACTTTGCTTTAAGTGGAAAGTTCTAAAACCTTATGGAACTGTATAATGATAAAGCTTGTTTATTTTGCACTGTAAACTGGACAATATGAATTTTGTTTTACAAAGTTGGAAAATTGAAAATCTGTGGAATCACTAATTATAATTATAGACCTTGTTTTACATTGATATAATGATATAATTCATAATTATAGACCTTGTTATACATATGAAATAAATTATATATGTTCAAAGTTGAAAAGCCATGTGAAGTTATACAATAATCAATACTTTCAATAGAAAACAATTAAGTTCTGTAATTATATAATTGCACATGAGTGTTTAATTTTTCACACAAAGCAAAATTCATCTCAGATCATCCAGTGTTTACAATATAAAATAATGTCTGCAATTTCACATGGACTTCCAATTTTCCATGCAAGATCTAAAACAATAATATACATATTAAAATTAAAATATGTAATAATTATGTAATGTAAATAAGATATTTTTGTGAAATACTTTATTGGTATGATAAATTTGTACCTTTAAATATATTATGTTTAGCACTTAATAGCACTATTTTTAAACCAACATCGATTTTCTTATTCTTCAACAAATCTTTGTTTTTATACAAAAAGACGTCAAATGAATATATTTTTAGTGAAATCTAAGCTGATGAAGAATCTAAATTTAACATTTATCAATTATATACTGGTTGACAATTACTATCATTTATCAATTATATACTGGTTGACAATTACTATATAGAACAAAGAATTTGTCAATATAATTACTATCATTCCTTAATACTAATCCTTATACTGGAATATTGTTCTAGGATAAAGAATTATGACAGGGATATCTAGATACGAAAAGAAACAGAACAATAAAAATATAATTAACAAACTGATCGGCAAGATTGACTAGAATGAAAGTATGATGCAGTACTTTATGTTGCAAATGTTTATATATGTACATTCGTATTTAAGTTAAATGAATAAGATCCTCGAATGTTTCGACTGTATTTCGAGTCATTATAGCGAAAATCTCATGTTCTTAAACTAAGATAGAGTTGTAACTCAAATGACATTCTTAATTTTCCACCATAATTGGAAATTCATACGAAGACGAAAGTGGAAAGGCAAATGGATAGTTTAAAAAGCGTATAATATAGAAGCAAGAATATAATAATCACATCAATAATAAAGTGAATTTCTACAATTATGTATAAAGTCAAGTAACAAAATTTTAAATGAGCTGATCAGAAGTAAAAGAAATTTCGAATTTTTTAAATGTAAGAAATAATTGTTTCTTAGCGTTTGTCAACCAGTGTTACATTGATAAAGAATTAACAATTAAAGAAGTATCACAGAATAATTCTTGTTTTCAGGGGCTTTTACGTGATCAATATTATGTCTTATACAATGGTCGACTTGTGCACGAAGATGATATCTGTTCGGATGGCCGTGCAACTGTGGTTCCAAGATTACTGGGTGGCAAAGGTGGTTTTGGATCCATGCTACGAGCGATAGGCGCGCAGATTGAGAAAACCACGAATCGTGAAGCTTGCAGGGATCTCAGCGGTCGCAGATTGCGCGACATAAACGAGGAAAAAAGGCTGAAAGCCTGGATTGAAAAACAGGCCAAACGAGACAAGGAGGCGGTAGAGCGCAAGAAGAAGAAACTAGAAAAACTATGCAGTGAACCGAGACACGAGTTCAAAGATCAACGTTATGATCAGGAACGTGCAGAATTGACCGAGAAACTTGAAAATGCCGTGGAAGAGGGCTTCAAAGCCGCTGGCACGTCGGGTATTAAGAGAAAACTGGAGGAGAACAATAAACCCAATAAACGCAAGACCATGTTAGATTTAGAAATTGACTCTGACGAATTTGAGGATTCTGACGACAGTGAGGATGAGACGCTATCTAGCGAAAAAACAAAGGCGAAAGAACAAGCGTTAAATGAGAGCGGACATTCCAGTGACGATATCGAAAATGCCGATAAATGTATCAAGAAAATAGAAAGCGAGCATTCTTCATCATCGCTCGATAATCAGATAAATGACAAAGTATTGAGTAATGACTCAATAAATACTAAATATATTGTTGAATCTCGAATGTAATTATATAAAAAGTAAAAAGATTATTATATTTATGTCATCTTGAAAGTTAGATTGATTGCTTAAGATTAGGATCGATTTATATGATAATCGCTTTTTTATTATCAAAAAAATAATGTAAGAAATTTAATTTTAAACATCTTATATCATGTATTAATGAGTAATTATAAGTGAAATGTAAGAATTTAACGACATGAAATAAATTACTTTATGAATTTTTTTGTAATTTAGTATTATAATGCATTGCAATAAATTATATATTGTTTTACATATGCTAAAGTTTCATTGAAGAGTTTGCTATTTAATGACAATTCTGGATAAAATTCCGAACATTTAATTTCCTGGTGAGTTCCACTCCAATTGCAAATAAAATCACTGATGTAACGATTGATTTTAAAAAATCATCCACGAACAAATACTTATTCATCCAACGGTAAAGTTTCGTGATGTATGTTGCACTTATAAGGACGAAATTGTCATTTCTTTGTCTCCATTCATGCCTTTGTCGAGTTTTTAACTGTGCTTCATTTATAAGATTCATGAGAATTCGCTATCAGACTTATTGAGAATTCGCAAATTGATAAGTAAATTGATTATAAGAAGTCAAGAATAATTTTTAACGTGGGAATAGTCACCTGTAAGCCTATTCTCTTAACAAACTCTTATCAACAATAGTAAATTTTAGTGACTTTTAGTTGGGATATAGAAAACATTCTAGGTGATTATACGCAAAAAATATTAGATAACTATTCCTAGGTTAAATATAAAGATATCAAGATAAATATTGTAGATGTGTGAAATATAATACACACTATTTAAAAAATATATATAATACTTACATCTCACGACAGCTCTTGGACAAATACGACGACAAGATTTGCAGCAATAACTTTTGTAAAATTTAAACTGAAAAAGTCAGCGAGATTAACATATTATGATTTTACATTTATTTGTCTCACAAATCTTGCGTTAATTTATATGATCGAAATTCGATCAGAATTTTAATATATATTTACCCTGTCAACGGTGTCATCACATGTTGTTTTCTGTTGCGTATGAATATTAATTTTATTTAAATTATAGAATGTACATGATGTAGAAATTTCATTTGCAAAAATCATTTTGTAAATTTTAAGCAGTCATTCTTTGAAATCCTAATTTGTTAGACTTAGAATCATGTATAACCATTGACCTTAGAATCATGTACTACATATAACCGTTTCATAGAAAATCCGCAGATATTCATTTTATTTATTTCTATATTAATTTTTAGACCTATTTTTATGCACGCGTATGTGTGTTATACATTATAATTATATATATTATTTTATTTAAATCGTAACTTTTTTTCAAAATATTTCTATTTGTAAACTATTCATGTCTCTTTTCAAGACATTTTTAATGCTTTTTTATATTTTTATATCACTGATGATTGATTCGAGTAGCAAAAAATAACTCAAATTAGTGTGTCATTTTGTTATGATGATATTGTCTTTATATTAATCTTTTCAAGTTTTTTAAATAAATTTATATAATTTTATAACATATACCTACTGAAGGCTTCAATATATATAATCTTTTAAGATAATTGAATAAAAGTTTAATTAAACTAAGCAAAATGCAGAAATATTCATATAATCTTCGCTAAAAAGTCTTTAATTATAATTTATTCAGTTATCTAAATTCTGTTGTACCGTATCTGCTTTAAGAAAAGACAAGAGGTTTGTATGGTCAAATGGAAAGGCAACATTTACAAATTTATTTCAGAGAAAGAAAGAAATTTAAACACAATTCATTGTTTAGATATTATTTATTATTATATTTATAGAAAATTAATAAAGTAATATTAAATTTATTAAAAATATTGGAATTTTTTGTCATTGAAAACAAATTCGGAAATACAAGTGTACTGTAAAGTAAAAAAAAAGTAAAATATACTGATTAGAAAAATGTTTTATTATACAATAGTAACAATATAAACGTAAACTCTAATTTTCGTATAAAAATTGATGTTATAATTTTATGGAAGCAAAACAATTTTTATAAAGCTTTTTTATTGTAGATTCAGTAAATATATAATAATTTTACAAAAAGTTATAACTTAACCGGCTTAACGATTTAAAATCATAAATAATAAGAAAAAAGGCTAACAAGCTGATTAAATGTTCTTGTCAATGATTACAATATAAGTAACTTTAATAGGTTTTCTAATAATACATAAAAATATAAATATAACACAAATCAAACGTTTCGATCTTTAATGTGGTTCTTTTCAGTGGTTGACACAATATTAAAATTATAAGTTAAAAACGAATTCAACAAATCTTTCCTCATACATAATGTCGACATTTTGTCGATTGTTAAAAGAATATACGATGGAAACGTATGGCAAGCCGTTACTTTTTAATAATATAAAAGAAATTTAACCTATTGTAAAATTCTTAAAAAATATTTGTCCGAAAGATATTACGTTTCTTAATGAATTAAAATTATGTCGCGACATAATAATAATTCAACGAATGAAAATTATGTCGAAACATAATAGAAATTTGGAACCTGTCTCTTATACACATCTCTGAGCGG